CATTTTTTCCTCTCATTATGCCTGCTAGACAATCTGTAAACAGGTTGTATATTATTTTTCATCCTTGAATTTTCCCATAGATACATCTTTTACCCTTATGTTAATTTTGCAGAATCCTGAATCCCATATGAACTCAACAGTGTATCTTTTCCAACATAAATTTTAAGTCTTTAGTTTCTACCCTAACTCTATATTGAAATCTGATAAATCTGCAGGAAATACACAGTACTGAACACAACAAACTTGAAGTGATTGACTGTGTGACTGATGGACAGATTAATGTCAACTGCTGAGAGCCATAGCCAAGTAGGAATGATGCATGGAATTTTTGGTTGAAAGGTGACGCCAGCAAGCTATTGACATAAGGATTATGTTAAGATGTGCATTCAATTGGAGATTAGACCCCTGCTGTCCTCCTTGCCTGCTACTTTGGAGCTCTCGTGGGACTCCCATTGGTTGGGGAAGCCCGGTAGGAGGGAATTCCAGAGGAGGGATGTCCTGTTGGTGTGGTGTGTCCCAGGAGAAGGCCGCGTGCATGGCATTCTCGGGAGTTTTGGAAATAAAGTTTGTTCCTGCTTGAGCGGCTCATGATTTTGTGCCCAGCCAGACTGCGGCAGGCAACCTTGGCATACATAGTATTTTCCTGCTATCAATTATGTTTTAATTCTTCTGTCTGAATTTCAGGGATAGGAATAATTTAGTCCCACTCATTTTACTCTTTATTACTGCACAATTGCCAACTACCCCCTTCACTGTCTTCCAAATAGCATTCTTATTCAGTCAATTATATGGCTGATGTTGTTCAATTCATTCCTTTCTACTCTTGCTTATTGCTGACTCACTAAGAAACTCACCCACCTGAGATGTTCTTCCTTTTCTCTGTTCTCCTTCCAAACCTAATAGTCCCTCTTACATTTATCCAAGAGCTATTATGTTTATAAAAACTTAGATCAATCTTTTTATTGATTTTTTTTAAAAAATAAATGACAGTGGAACGCATTACAATTCTTTTTACACATATACAGCACAATTTTTCATATCTCTGGTTGTATATAAAATATGTTGACACCAATTCATGTCTTCACACATGCACTTTGGATAATGATGTTTATCACATTCCACCATCCTTGCTAATCCCCTGCCCCCTCCTTTTCCCTCCCACCCCTCTGCCCTATCTAGAATTCATCTATACCACACTGACCCTCCTTATTAGTGAATGCAGTGCCACAAAGCTTGTTATTTCTTATAAATTTAATTCATTTATTCCATAAAAATATCTAGAGCATTCATATGAATTGTACAAGATGCTGAATATAAAATATATATCTAAAACATCATCTTTGATTTAAAAGCTTTCAGTGTGGGACAAAAAGATTTATAATCATTTTAAAATAGTATACTATGTGCAATTTTTGAATTATTTTACAAAAAGGCCATATCTTTTTGACAGGAGTAGTTCATTCTATACATAGTTTTACCTACTGATGGGCATATATACTCCTTGGTACTATTTCTGAGCTCACATGTTAAATTGTTACTCTTTCAAAAGACTTAATAAAGACATATGTACTAATATACAGAGAAAATCCAACATCTGGAGACAACCACACTTTTCATTTGATAAACACAGTGGCATGAAAGCCACTAAACTAAGCAAACAGGTTTTTATTTTTTTTTTCTTTTTATGTTAGAGATAGAGCCCAGGTCCTCTTGCATGCTAGGCAGGTACTTTAAAACCACAGAGCTATATCCCCGACTCCATAGGTAATCTTAGACCAAAGGAATAACAAATGTTATGTGAGCACTTTGCAAAAATAATTTTGACAAAGATTGCCATTATAGGATTAGTAAATATTGAAAAAATAACTAAGTTTATACTATTTTCTAAACTCTCTGCTAAATTATATTCATTTTCACAGTAGAATAATACTGAGAAGTAGGGAAATAAACTTGCTGATTTTTTGATTTATATGAACTTATATGTTGTTGTTATTCAGCTATATACATAGTTAGTGCAATGATAAATTCTAACAGTGGACATGCAGTTCATGAACTGCTAGCAATGATTGGGAACAGATATAGAATTCTCAAAACCATTCTGGGATAGCTCCTTTTGACTTTAAGAATAATGCTGATCTCCCACGTGATGCACACTTATAAAATTTTTTATTTTATTATGGAGGCAAGTACTGTCAGATCTGTGTTCTGGGAGAGATTCTATCACTCATTTCAGAGCATTTAGCCAAGTTATGGGTTTAATTTCAGTGGAAGTCACCACTAATAATCTGAAATTGGGCTTCATGTGGACACACAACTAGCTGAATTGCATCAGGAATTAGGCTTCATGTCTCCCTTTTTGAAAGGCAGGAGGATTGCAAGTTCAAACCCAGCCTCAGCAAATTAGTGACACTCTGTCTCTAAAAAAATAAAAAGGGCTGGGGATGTGGTTCAGTGGTGAAACACCCCTTGGCTCAAGTTCTAATTCACACACACACACACACACACACACACACACACACACATCCAACCTGTATTGAGAATAAGGTCCTGAAGGCTCTAACCAGAATTCTTCAATTTTATATTTTTTCCATTTGTTTATTTGACATAGTTCTGTGATATATTATTGGGCACATATATGTATTTTTTCCACAGAACAAGACTTTATGATTCAAGTTTCATTTTTTCATTAAGCTTTCTGACTATGCTTGAACCTTTGACACTTTCACAATTTTCTACTCCTCAATAAGGTAAATATGCTTAATCCTGTCACAAAGACATTTAGCACAGATGGAACCATGGGCCTTGCTGGCTTTTTTTTTTTCCATTTTAGACAACCTCCTATGAATGTTAGTTTTTACTACACAACACCCTATTAGTATCCCTGGGTATACAACACATGCAGATTTTGGTGCTTTCCCAACCTCCTTGGTGTAAAGGCAAACTCTGTTTCCAGGGTTTGGGGGCAGCCTACTTAGAGGCTGTACTGTAGAAATGTCTACAGTATGTCAAATGCTGGACCATTCTCAGTGTCTCCAGACACCACCTTGAAGAGGAACAGAACTAATTGCTAAATATATGTTGGTATTTCCTCTATGTTACTGAGTGATATTTTTATCCATATAAAATGTCCTTGGATCTCTATTTCAAAATCCATCTCTAGTACTAAGAAAGCTATTTTAGTAATTTTTTGTGGTTTCTGTGTACATAGCTTCATTTTCAACTGTTTGCTTTTGTTTGTAACTTTGAGTTACTCATATACAGTTGTATTTTGTTTTCTAATTAAATCTGAATATCGCTGCTTTTTGATATATTCCTTAATCCATTTACACAGTTATTCTAGATACTGTTGGATCTGTCTGCCATTATTGTTTTCAATTCATCCCATATTTTTTCATTCCTTTTTACTGCTAAACAAGTGAATATTTTGTAATGTAGCATTTCAATTTCTTTAATCTTTTCTCTTTATATATTCCTCAATGCCTCAGAGAGTGTACTTGGGATTTTTTCCACTTTGTGAGTTCACTGATGCCTATTTAAACATCATTAGCATGTTCCTGAAGTGGGAAAAATGAGAATGCTAAAAAGTATGACATCAATTAAAAATTAAAAATTGTTGGGGCTGGGATTGTGGCTCAGCGGTAGAGCACTCGTTTAGCACATATGAGGCCCTGGGTTCAATCCTCAGCACCACATTAAAAAAAAAAAAAAAAAAGGTATTGTTTCCAACCACTTCCAAAAAATAAAAAATGTTAAAAAAAAATTGCAACGTCTTTAGTAGGAAATGATGGTATCAATTGTAGCCTCAGAACCAGGCAAAGCAGCTGGAATTGTGGCCTGTTCTGTAAGTACTCTAAGTTCTATTTGAGATTTTATTGCCAGCCAATGCCTTTAAAAGTTGGAATGAGGACTACAGTGGAGTTTGGATGTCTCTTAACATCAACATTTAAAAAAAAATTTTTTTTTAAAGAAAAATCTAAGATAACTGAATGGTTGTTCTTATGTTGGCAGGTTTTAAAGTAATGTTCCTTTTTTCCATATTCCCCAGACAGAGCTAAGTTAACTGATGATAGTGACCATATGAAAACCTGAGAAACGCAGGCTGTGTCCCAGAGAAAATAAAATAGTTTTGGGGGACGTGTAGTATGTTTATGCTATAAGATTTTTTCTACTTTGTGAGTTCATTGATGCCTACTGAGGTCTGCTTCTGGTAAAAAAAATTTTCCACACTGTGTATATTCATACTCTTCTTCTCACTGTGAATTCTTTGATGCTTCCTGAGGACTAACCTCTGATAACAGGTCTTCAACACTGAATATGTTGATAGTTGTTTCTGCCCTGTGTGGATTATCTCATATTTAGTGAAGGATGACACAGTAGAAACTTCTTTTTTTTTTTTTTGTACTGGGGATTGAACTCTGGGATGCTCAACCACTGAGCCACATCTCCAGCCCCATTTTTTTAAAAATATTTTATTTAGAGACAGTGCCTCACTAAGTTGCTCAGAGCCTTGCTAAGTTGCTGTGGCGGGCTTTGAACTTGCAATCTTCCTGCCTCAGCCTTCCAAATCGCTGGTATTACAGGCTTGGGCCACCATGCCAGCCTTCTATAATTTTGTTTTTTACCTTTTTTTATTTATTTTTACATGGTGCTGAAGATCGAACCCAGTACCTCACGCATGCTAGGCAAGTGCTCTACCACTGAGCCACAACCCCAGCCCATTCTCCTACAATCTTTACATTCATTTGGTTTCTCCAGTAAGAATACCTGATGCATTCTGAGCCCTCACTTCTGGCAAAGGATTTTCCACATTCATTACATTCATAGGGTTTCTCTCCCTGTGAGAGCTGTCTGATGCTTCCTGAGGTTGTAGTTCTAGTAAAAGATTCTCAACATTCACTACATTCAAAGGGTTCCTCACTTCTGAGTTCTCTGATGTTTTCTTTTGGCTAAAGGTTTTTCCACATTGCTTACACTTCCAGCAAAAGGTCTTCTCACATTGCTTACATTAATAGGGTTTCTTCCCAGTCAGCTGTGACTTCCTGCCAAGGTTTTCCCACATTGATTACATTCATAGGGTTTCTCTCCTGTGTGAATTCTCTAATGTATCCTGAGGTCTGACTTCTGGGCAAAGGCTTTTCCACATTCATTACATTCATAGGGTTCTTCCCCAGTATGAATTCTTTGATGCTTCCTGAGGTCTGACTTCTGGGAAAAGGGATTTCCACATTGATTGCATCCATAAGGTTTCTCCCCTGTGTGAATTCTTTGATGTTTCCTGAGGTAGGACTTCTGGTAAAAGTTTTCTCACATTCATTACATTCATAGGATTTCTCACTTGTGTGAGTTTTCTGATGTTTTCTGAGACTGGACTTTCGGGAAAAGGTTTTTCCACACTGCTTACACTCATAGTGTTTCTCTCCAGTGTGGACAACCTCATGTTGATTCAGTTGTGATTTCCAACAAAAGGTTTTTCCACACTGATTACATTTGTAGGGCCTCTCCCCTGTATGAAGTCTTTGATGCTTCCTGAGACTGAACTTCTGGCCAAAGGTTTTTCCACATTCGTTACATTCATAGGGTGGTTCCCCAATGTGAATTCTTTCATGTTTCCTGAAATCTGACTTCTGATAAAAGGTTGTTCCACACTGCTTACACTCATAGTGTTTCTCTCTAGTGTGGACAGCCTCATGTTGACTCAGTTGTGACTTCCAAAAAAAGGTTTTTCCACACTGATTACATTTGTAGGGCCTCTCCCCTATATGAAGTCTTTGATGCTTCCTGAGATTGAACTTCTGGCCAAAGGATTTTCCACATTCATTACATTCATAGGGTGGTACCCCAGTGTGAATTCTTCGATGTTTCCTGAGACCTGACTTCTGATAAAAGGTTTTCCCACACTGCTTACACTCATAGTGTTTCTCCCCAGTGTGGACAGCCTCATGATATGTCAATTGTGACTTCCAGCAAAAGGTTTTTCTACACTGCTTACATTCATAGGGTCTCTCCCCTGTGTGAGTTCTCTGATGATTCCTGAGGTTGGACTTCTGGCCAAAGGTTTTTCCACATTGATTACATTCATGGGATTTCTCCCCAGTGTGGATTTTCTCATGTCGAGTGAGGTGTGATTTCTGGCGAAAAGTTTTTCCACATTGATTACATTCATAGAGTTTCACCACAGTGTCGACAGCCTCATTTAGTGTGAGGTTTGACTCCCGGCTGTAAGTTGTTCCATACTGAGTACATTTATATAGTTTCTCCCCTGTGTGAATTCTCTGAGGGTCTCTGAGGTCGGATTTTTGGTAAAATGATTGAACATATTCAGTACATTTGTAAGGATTCTCACCTGTGTGAGTTTTCCAATGGACTGTAAGGTCTGACCCATAGCTGAAGGATTTCTCACACTGGTTACATGAGTAGGGTCTTTGCCCTGTATGTGTCCCCAGATGTACTGGAAAATCTAATTTGCTAATGATGTTTTTCTCACATTCAAGATAGTCACAGGATGTCATCTCTGTTTGTATTTGTTGATTTTGTTTGAGAGTACACTCTTGATGCTGATCAAAATGTTCAGGACATCTGAGGAATGTCTCAGTTATGTTATAGTCATCACCAGATTTCTCTCCAGGATGCATCTCCTCAGGCTCAAAAGAGAGATGAGAGTTCTGACATATATTAAACTCTTCAGGCGTCATTTGTGAGTACTTTCCATTATTTATAATCAAATCTGAAATACAATTTGGGATCAAAGAAAAAGTGTCTCCTAACCCATCTCTTTTCTCCGTTAACATGTTGTTGGTGTTCATTACATCTTGCCAGAAATGGCTATCTTGACTTCCCTGGTTAGTCTCAATTAAATCATCCATTTTCTTCACATCTAAAATGAGAGGAAAAAAAAAAAAGAACACACCTATGAACTACATCTGAACATTTCTTCTTTTCATGGGACAGCTGGGATTGAACCCAAGGCTTCATGCATAGTAGGCAAGCACTCTTCTACTGGGCCACATCTATAGCCCTTCATGTTTTTGAGAGGGTCCCACCAAGTTCCCAGGCTGGTCTCAATCTTGTGATCATCCAGCCTCAGATTCTCAAGAGGCTGGAGTTACTAAAGACAAGTGTCATCACACCTGGCTTAAATATTTCTATGGAATGCTCATGTATATGTACGAGCATATCCTATGGGCGTAAAATTTTATAAAATACATAACAAGTATTGGTTTTGCATTCTCTTCCTACTGAGTTCATTTAATAAATTGCACTGGTAGTTTTTCTAGTGCACAACTGTTTTTCTATGTTTATTTCATGAAGAAACAGACATTTGGTTAAAATATTCAGCTACTTCTTGCAATAATTCTTCATTGAGTGCTTATACCCTGCCATTAGTTTTCCCTGTTCTTTATCTCCACTTTTTTTTTATAACAATTATCTCCCACTGACATTCTTCTCATTATTCTGTTTTGAAGGTGGCAATAATTTCCGTGACCAGCTCCTTGTAGGGTGAATCAGGTCAAATGACTGTCCCCTAGAGAAGGAACATGGGTAATGGAAAGTGTTTTGTATCTATGTTCATTTAGTTTTCATTTTTCCCTAGGGAAAGACTATAAGTATATGGGAGTTTTCTAAATATAAAATTGTTTTACACTCTAGAAAAGGACAGCTTTCTGACAATTTCTAATTTAACCTGGCTTCCTCCAGTTCTCAGAACCAAAACAAGTACAGGAAGCTTCAGAGCCCCACCCTGAACACTCACCTTTGGTGCCCATAATATCTGGAAAGTGTTTTTCTGGCTCTTTCTGAGATTAACAGCCCTGGCATTTTCCCCACTATTCCTGGGACATGTACCAATTGGTTGATAATCCACTGCTTTTGAGGAATATAATCTCATGCACTGCAGTGTTAGCACTTTTGCTAATTTTATGCAAAGTGGAGTCTTCTGTACATTTCTCGTTGTGTATGTTGTTTTAGGATAATAGCCACAAAGAGAAAAGGGAAATGCTAAATTCAAATTCTACTCCCCAAAATGCCAGCTCAATGTAAAACCCTTGGTTCTGTTGTGCTTCAGGCCAAAATTTCCTGACTCTTCCCCAAGTCCAAGACCACCCCTTTCCATGCTCATATACTGGATCCTCACTTTGATGATTTCTGATATTCTGGTTCACATATGTGACTCTGGACTTCTCTCATTTTATTTATGAAATCCTTTGTTGAATTTCTAAGGATAACTTTACCACATTTACACTATTAATTTCCAAATTTACATTTCCAAGACTGAGGTCTGCTTGCAAATCCAGATCTTTTTTTTATATCAACCTATGTTTTTTTCTGTAAAATTTCAAAACCAGTAACTGAAACAATACCAGTGTAAATATTTTTTTTTAAATATTTTTTATTTTTTTTTTATTTCTCGGCGGACACAACATCTTTGTTTGTATGTGGTGCTGAGGATCGAACCCGGGCCGCACGCATGCCAGGCGAGCGCGCTACCGCTTGAGCCACATCCCCAGCCCCAACCAGTGTAAATATTAATAATTCCCCTAAAAATATAACCTAGTTGAAAAGTGCTTGACGAGTATGCACAAGGACCTGGGTTTTATGCCCAGCCCCATAAAAACAAATCAACCAATGAACAAAAAAAAATCACCCTAAGGCTGTCTTCTCTCACCATCCTTTTTAAATTATAACATTTCCTGTTTCTCTCTGTCTCGCTCTGGTTAAATATTCTTCACAGTTCTTAACTGCCTACTCAATACACAGGAACTTCTCATTTAAATATTATCATAAATAAATTCTATGAGAGGCACAGAATCACCATCATTGCTGTCATAGGTACAAATATAAAATCAATGGTAGTAAAAATATGCTCCATTAGGATGTGCTTGAAGCATAAAGAAATTTATGAAGAAATGTCTGACAGCAAAAAAAAAAAGTACATGAGAATGAAGGATAAGAGATAACAGAGAATCAGAAAAAGTAGAAATCAAAGAAAAATGTCTAAGAAGTGTCTAAGAGACTAGATTTGGTGTAAATGTAAGAAAATATTCAGCAAAATTGAAGGTAGGAATACATGTGAGAGTCCTCCTTAGTGATTATATTTCACATGTCTTATGTATATAGAATAGCTGTTCTCATGTCTGGGACCTAGGGGAATGCTTGTGAAAACAGCACAACATGGCCAACATCTCCTGGCTCTCCTCTTCAGGACCTCCCAGCCCAATATGCACTCACTGATGCTCTCATTTGGGAGTTCTCCCATCCACGGCTCTGCTCCTTGCTCCAGGTTCACTTCAGGTTTGCTGATGCAATGTCCTGTTAATGGCAAATAACTTGAGACTTTACCAAACTATTAAGGCAGGTTCTTTGAAGAATTTCAACAGCTCAACTTCAGGGGCTACGCAACTAAGAAGCCTATGTAAGCCTTTTAGAGATGGGAACACAATCAATTCTTCATAGACTGGAATCTTCCATATAAACAGCATTAAATCCTACAAGTGTTCATGTGTTTACTATAGAAAGGGCTTGCTTCTGAGAATAACTGCAGAGTTTCACTCACCCAGTGACATCAGGGAACTGTAGGTCTCCAACATCGGGTCCCTGTGCAGAGTCCTCTGAGTATCATCCAGGTCCTGCCACTCCTCCCAGGTGAAGTCCACAGCCACATCCTCAAATGACACTAGTACTTGTAACAGCATATTTCTCAAATCATCAGTCCTAGTCTAAAGGATGTGCTATGGGGTGGGGGTTATGTGAATTTTACATAGAATGCAGCTTGCTTTGTACTCTACATGGCAGGGAAAAGAAAAATCATACACTATCCTGCCCTTTTAATTAAATACTTATTTATCTTTACCACCGGGAATTATACTCATGGCATTAAACATATTAGGCAAGCACTCTACCACTGAGATACAAACCCAGCCCTGTTCATTTCACTTTGAGATAGGATCTTGATAAGTTGTACATGCTGGCTGGAACTTATGATCCTTCAGCCACAGCCTCCTAAGTAGTTAAGATTAAAGTCATGCATCATTTTATTAATTAGTTACTAATGCTATTATCAAGCTTACCTTCTGGATCTGAAAATCAACCTTGTTGCTAGGGATTAAAGTGTGAATATAATTTTGCTTGTTCAAAACACTTATTATTTAGTATGAAGACAACACAAGAATAAATACCCACAATAATTTCTTTGATGAACCAAACACAACTTCCATGTAGATGAATTGAGGAAGGAGAATAAAGTTCTATTTTGTACTATAAGACTGCCCCTCGCTGAAAAACCAAAAACATTTAAGCTCTGCCATGTATCAACCATGTGTTCTCATGACAGCAGGAATCCAGTCACCAGCACACAAACACCACACACCTGGCTGAATCCAGGTGAAGGAATCTGGATCATGACGACACAAACACAACACTGAAAGAAGAGATTATGGAGTGGGTGATTCTACACTTAAATACTGAAAAGATTCCAACTTTAAGCAACATTGTTTATAATTACTTACAAATTAAAAGCATGTAGAGAGGCATCCCAATATTTCCTTCCTGTATGCCAAAGGTGTGTTTATATTCACTTCAGGCTGAGCACTGCCACTTTCCAAACCACAGGGTGAAAACAGTGAGATCATAGAAGATCAGGTCAGTTAACTAAGAAGTTCTATATTTCAGTAGTCATTCCCTAAAAAAACACTGGAGGCCAGGGCTGTAGCTCAGTGGCAGAGTGCTTGCCTAACATGTGTGAGGCACTGCATTTGATCCTCAGCACCACATAAAAATAAACAAATAAATAAATGAATAAATGAAATAAAGGCATTCTGTACATCTACAAAAAAAAATTTTTAATTTACAAAAAGAATTGGAAAGGGTTAATGAAGAGTCGAAGGGAAGAAACCAGAATGAGACATGATGGGACTACATGAAAACCACCACCAGAAAATAGAGAAGTAGGAACACTGAATAAGCAATCCAAAAAGACAAAAAAGAAAAGACAGGAACAGAATATAGTACTAACTTGCTGAGCAGAAGATTAAAACAGACCTTATATTTCTAGGCTTCCTGCATGCATGCTGCTAGTTAGATACTGGTACTATAAAGAGAATTTAGAAAACATAAGAACATAATGGCAAAAGTAACACATACCTGAACACATCATATCTGGAATCCTAAAGTCCCAGATGTGGAATGTCCAAAAGGCAATTACAAACATATGATTCTGGAGAGTCCAGGAGAGAAGCAAGCTGAATATTAAAAATTTAGAAAGTAATACAATTTAACTGTTGTTTGAAGTCATCAGAGTGAAGAAAATGGCTTGAAGACAATGTAAGAGACTGAAGAAGAAGAAAAGTAACAGGAAAAGGATCCAAGGAAACTAATATATGCTGATAAAAGCAGAGAAATAAAAGTGTAAAGAATGAAAGAATTTGATTTTATCCCATGAAGAGGGAAATTCAACATTAAGGACACTACTAATATAATTTATCATATACATACTTCTACAAGGATAAATTCTTTAGGTTGTCTGCATAGACATTCAGATGACACTATAAAAAAATACCATCCTAGCATCCAGCCCTATATGTAAAGAGCCTGAAAGTTGCTTTAGTTTGCAATGTACCCCAAATACCCATGTGTGAAAGGCTCAAATTTATAAGAAGGAGTGGTAGAATCATTAAGAGGTGAGGCTTCATATGTAGAAGTTAGATTATCAGAGTCCTACACTTGTAGGGGACACTGGGACCTTGGCCTGTTCCAGCATCCAGGCTAGCTTCCACTGCCATTTGCCACAGGCCTGAAAGTAATGAGGTGAATTCACCATGGGCTGCAACCTCCTAAATTATGAGCCAAAATAAACCTTTCCTCCTTTTAAGTTGATGACCTCAGGAAATTTTTTCTCAGTAATGGAAATCTGAAAGACAGCTTTCCATTCTTAAACCAAGTAAAGAACTTAAGAGACTAAAAAGAAAAAAAAAATCAATAAATCTTCTTGAATATAAAAGTAAGGAGAAGACACTGAGATTAACCGCTGAGCAACATCCCTAGTCCTTTTTGTCTTATTTATTGATTTAGAGACAGGGTCTCACTAAGTTGTTGAAGCTGGCTTTGAACTTGTGATCCTCCTGCCTCAGCCTCCTGAACCACTGGGATTACAGGCGTGTGCCACCACATCTTGCTACAGAGCCCTTTAATATGGTGTAAATGTTTGTGTCTTCCCAAAATTCATGTTGAAACTTAATCCTCACAGTAGCATTAATCCTTTTGGAAACGGATTAATTCATGAAGGTACAGCACCAGTAAACAAGGTTAATACCCTGATAAGAAGACTAAGGTAGCTTTTTCACAACTTCTGCCAGGTGTGTAACAGCACACAGACAGGGCTATCTATAAAGAAAAGGTCCTCACCACACATGCAATCTACTGGGGCTCTTGGACTCTGAAGATTCCAGAACTGTGAGCAATAAATTCATATTGTTTACAAATTGCCCACTCTAGGTTATTTTATTACTGTAATCTGTACAGACTAAAACAGCCTCTTACACCTTACCACATAGCTAAAATGATTTCCTACAGCTCCTCTTACTTGGCATAACATGCCAGGCTACAAAGAAAATGCTACAGGGCATACCAAAGGCATACACAATTTCAAGTGGCAAAGGATGCACTAGAACAGACATGGCAGGATGTAAGAAATATCAGACAGCAAATGTAGTTAGAAAATAAAATACAACTATATATTCACTACAAGAAGTTCACTTTCAATATAAACATATATGGATGAAAAGTAAACACATGAGGAAAAACATATCACAGAAGTACTCAAATGAAAGTAGGAGCTAAGGACATAGCTCAATGGTTGAGTGCTTGCCCAGTACACATTAAATCCTATAGCTTCAAATCTGATATCCAGGGCACATGGTGGCATGCTGAGAGCTCCAAAGAGCTAACGCAGCCCCAACTCTATGGTCTTCCAAGGCTACAGTTCATATAGCCACTCTTGGATGGCTCTGCTTATTCCAAGTGGCTTTCCTTGGCAGGCTATCCACATTCCTGACATCCAGGTTCTCCATGGTACTTCAGCTCATTCTTATAGCTTCACCCATTGCCTACTTAAAGAATTCCTGCAAGCACTCCAACCCTGCCACACAGGTCTTCCTTTGAAGCCTTGGTGGGAGCCTCCATGACCCCACACTTCTTCCATTCTGCACTGCTACAAAACCACCATCAAGTGGTCAATGTCATGTCTGCTACTGAATTCAGTAGGAACTAGGTCCTCCTGGACCATGGTGGCAGTGGCCTCTGACTGCTTGGAGGGCTGAACAAGGTGAAATAAATCCTGAGAAACAACCTGCTAGATTGCCCAGTGGAAGCAGAGCACCCAGGAGTTCTATTCTCAAAAGAAAGAATTATACTTTTATACCCTTGAGCCTGTGAGGAGTAGGGTCTTGCTGATTCCCGAGATGCTCTCAAGCCATCTTTCTTACTGTAGTCTTCCTGCAAAGTATTTGGCTTCTTTTAATAGTCCTAATGTCTTCAGCAAATACACCCCTTCCTCAGCCCCCATTTCACATTTGAAGCATTTCTGGTCAAACTACAAGTCTGTAAATCTTTCCACTCTGCTCTTTGCTCTCAATTTCCATAATAAATCTGGCTAAGAGCAGCCAGAAATGCCCAAGGCATTGTCTAAATGCTGTGCTGCCTTGAAATTTCCTTTTCCAAATTAATTAGTCCATCACCTTTATGCTCAGCCTCACATAAAATCTCAGAACACAATCAAAATATAGACAAGTTCTTTGCTAGAAATGCCTCTATTCCAATTCCAACAGAGTTCTAAACCCCATGAGCATCGTCTTTACTATCGGTATTTCAGTCAAGATTCTGGTCTTCTAATCTCACAGAATCGTCCACTAAACTCTACCTTCAGAATTCTAGGGCTTCTTGACACTGCATCTCCAAACCTTTCCAAACTCCTTCTACAAACCAGGTCCAAAAGTTTCTGATTCATGGTCAGATGTAGTCAAAGCAACAATCCCTATTCTTGGTAACAATAATTCCTGCCAGCTGGCTGGGCTGGCGAGGCGAGCTGGGTATAAAAGAGCTGGCTGCAACATTAAACTAAGAAATCGGTGAAAAAACCATGCAACACACACACACAAGTTTCTCAGGTCCAGAGGGGGACTGCTCTGTGACCTCAAGGGTCCTCTTCCATGCTGGAAGGCGAGAGAGAGAACGCACCCAGAACACCTCTATTTATTAGGGAAAAGACATTGGATAGAGTAGTCCACCCAAATAAGGCAAGGGATAGGGTTTCAAAAGGTGGAGTCTTGCTTTGTGATGTCTTGTGGTCAGCATATTGATTGACGTCTTGTCAAGTCATACCCTTCTCATGTGCTGTGTGGGATCACAGGCAGAATGAGAGGGCACACTTTCGTCATACAGCCCAATCTACATACAACGCCAGACCAGTCCCTTCATATTGCTCAAATGTGCATAGCTCATACACACAGCCTGTGGATGACTCACAACAAATATTCTATGTTAGCCAGATTTCAGTCACTGTAACAAAATACCTCACATAAACAACCTAAAAGGAAGAAAGACTTATTTTGACCCTCTGTTTCCAAGTTTTTAGTCTACAGTCATGTAGTTCCATTGTTTGGGGGCCTATTATAAAGCACAACATGTTGCTAGGGAAAAT